TCTCACATAGTCAGGGGAGACTGTGACTTCTAGCATCTAGCTAAGTGATAGAACTTTGGCCTTGCTACCTAAAGGAAGGGAGAAAAAGGCCATATGAAATAGAGAAATTGGTTACACTGGGGGACAGCAGGCATGAGGTGAACCTTCTCTGTGGGGGAGGGAGAGCCAGTCATGTGCATGAGGAAACAATTGGTACAGGAACTAGAAAGAAGTAATATTTAGTCACTCAGATATCTCTATGCAAATGTGTAGAACATGGATAATAAAATGAGTTGGGTTTTACGACAAAAAAGGATTGATGTGTACTTTAGGTGTCATTGGAGTTTGGTAGCATGGGACTTAAGATTAGAATCTAGTGCTGAGAAGCTACACGTCTATGCAAAAGAAAGACCTGTCTTAGGTAGTAAGGCAGTGAGTGGGCTCTGAATATCAGGAAGATATCCATCTGTGGGGGAATCTATGACCTAGGGGGAAAATTTAGACAGCATATCGGAAAGAGGAACAGAGATAAAATAATTGTGTTCATTTGTTATAGGCCACGTAAGTGGGTGGAAAAAGTGGCAGTTGCATACCTGGTATAGATGGGAAAACAGGAAGTGATTATACAGATACCTGATGAAATGCTTAGTGAGACCTAACTACAGTTCCTTGACTTCCCTGGTTGGAGTTTCAATTTATCCTAACATAGAGATCTTGAGAACGTCATTCTGAACATTAAAGAGAAATTAATTAACCAAATTGCAATGAAAGAACTTTGTAAAGAACAGTCATATCGAGTTAGTTATTGTTGAAGCTCAGAGGATTGAACAGGAAACTATCATACATAGAACCTAGATTTTTCAGAAAGCAGATACTGAAAGTTTCAAGGAAAAAAATAGGAGTTATTAATGAACAGTTCTGGACAGCGTACTGGCCCAGGAAGTTTGTGAAACTGCAATAATAGAATTCAGAATACCTAAACCAAATGGTCTTTGGTGAAGTGTTATAGAAAACCAGGCAAGCAAATAAACGTAGAATGGTTGTACAGGTAGTGTTCTTCAGAGCTTATCATTTTTTTAAAAATGTAAAGCAGAAGCTTACACACAATCACCTTCAAGAACGCTAAAGGTTTAAATGAGCAGAGGCTTTAAAATAGGTTAAGGTTAAAAAAAAAAGTCTCCTAAATTTGTGTTTGAAATTAGGAAGTGCCAGGTTGCTGCCTAGAGCCTGCTAGGTAGGGTAACATTGACTTATGACAGAGAAAGTGGCTCGTATTTTGTACTCTAATAATACTGACCATCAGACTGGAAGAGACAGGCTGAACTTTCTTGTGGTAGCTGAAGATGCAGTGGGCATCCACGTGCTTACGCCTCCTGGCAAAATCCTGGGAGAGTTTTGATTTTAGACCCACAAAATTATTTCAGAGATCTAGGAACTTTGAAAGGTGCTGAAAGCACATATATGTATGAATAAGTTTAGTACACATTCTAGATCAGATGGATTACTTATAAACCACTAGAAGAGGAAGTTGTCACCAGTCTCCAGCGTGAATTCACTATAAAGTTTTATCATGCTGTTGACCTCATCTCTTTTGACAGGGAGGCCAGCAAAAGGCAGTAGATTTAGTTCATCTGAACTTTGGCAGAGTATAAGGTTTGTTTTTGTGATGCCTTCATAGCAAAATTGAGACAGGGGAAATTAATGTTAGTATAGTTAAGCAGAATAATATTGTTTCAAGGTCTCTCTTCAGAGTTTGTATGCAATGTATTCTTGGGGGCAGGGTGTTTCCAATGGTGGGTCACAGGACTGTGATCTTGCCCTTGTCTGTCTGGTTTCTTAATTTCTTCCTTATTTCAGATACCATTTTCAGAAGTTTATAAAAAGTAGCCAGTTTGGTTAAACCAACTCTCTAGTAGGGATACTGGAGTCAGCTTAATCCAAGGATGATGCTGGGGTATTGAGAGCAGAGATGGCAAATAAACGACACTCCTTTGCTTTCCTATGCTACTGCACACATCACCGAACATCACATACTTCCTTCCATTGAGCTCGAATCACTCCTCCTCATCACAGTGAAGTCTGTAATGTATCCCCAATCTAGAGAAAGGATAACTAGCAAAACTTTCTGGATCCACTGTAAATACCGTTCATTAGCAGAGTGTTGAATAATTGTTGAGTGGCCATGAATGCAGGGTTCCTCCCTAAGAGCTGCCTGGAGTGAGCTATTTTATGTTGCTGGTTAAATGTTGTAAAGTATGGTTTAAAATTTAGGTGACCATCTTTTTAGGAGTGGTGAGTTGTTCAACACTTGGGGAAATTTCTCTAAAGAGAATGATAATTTACCTTGGTAAAAGTAGATCAAACTAGGAATATGTAGGGGCAGGGCCAAGAGTCTTCTAAGGAAATAATTTACAGTCTGATATAACACTAGTGGATGAAACCATAAAACAGTGATTTTATTTTTTTAGAGTATAATATCTTTTACTCCATAGACTATAGTTTGAAAATTATAGTTCTAAAAATCTATGAAACTTAATTGTAATGATTTTTCATAGAAAAATTTTAGAGCAGGTATAACTAAACACTTTAGTGAAAAGAGAAAATAAACCCAGAAAACTTTCTTAATCTTTTAACTTTGAACAATATGATTTGGTTATATCCCTTCACAAGGCAATTTAAATTTCTTGCAAAATATGCAAAAAGGAAGCTGTAGTTAATCTATTTACCAAAATGATGACTTTAGTTCTAAAATAGATGTGACTATTTAATAACTGTATCAAAGTGCTGAAGGCTACTTTTACATCACAAAAATAAAATTATGCTATTGTTTTATTGAAGAACACTTATTCTATCTTTTCTTCTTTATAAGAATGGGAAAAGCAGGGGAGAGAAGGAAGGGTTGCATAGCTCCTGCCCAAGAAAAGGGTTTCCGGTCTTTAAGATACAAGCAGAAAATAAGAGGCAAAGTAATTAGTGAGTGTTACCCTGATTTATACCTTCCAGAAAATTACCTAGTGCATAAAATAACTGTTCCTAGCAAACCTAAATCTTGAGATTATATTGACATTCAGACTTAGAATTGATAGTGAGCATTTTATATTGCACTCTGGCAGTTTAGCCTATGATTAATTCTTGTTCATGGATTTAAAAATGGAGGACAGGTCTATAAAAGTTACCTATTAGGATGGTAGAACTGGTTCCTGCTATCATGATTTTTAATTTTATGACTTTTTTTTTTTTGGTTCTCATTATTTTTTAATGTCTTCTTATGTCATGAATGTAATTTATTCTTTGTAAGGACATTAATTATCGTCTTTTGACCTTTTCTTCTGTTCTCTGCATTGTCTCTAGTCCTTCAAGTTGTGTTTTTCCTGCTTGTTTTGGTCTTGTTCTTTCATATTAGAGGCTGGTGATCTTGTCTTGGTTCATTCGTTCATATTTAAGTGTAAGCCTATAATTCTGTGTCACTGGGAGTGGACCTTTTCTGTCAGACTTCACTGTGGTAGGATGTTGTAGAGACCTGGCTCTTTCAGTTGCTATTTTCTGTAGGTCTTTTCTCTAAGCCTATTTAGTTTTCTCCAAAACTAATTTACCAGACTCTTGCCTGGAGTGGTATATGTATATCTTCCTGCTAGTGTATATTTATTCCGTTTTTTACTTAGTCTCCCCCTTTTCACACTTACAATCCTGCTCTTACTGTGCCCCATATCTAGTTTGGAGCCTGTTATTTCATTTTTATGTAGGGAAAACGCTTGTGCCAGAGCTGGGTATGGATGACCCAACCGGGAAAGTATCAGGGGCCACTGCCCTCATTCCCACTTCTAACCATTCCCCTATGTATCATTTCTGTCTTCTTGCTACCTGATGCCTGCGATTTCTGAACGTTTTGTAAGTCCTTGGTTTTCTCCTGAGTAAGTAGTACCTTCTCTGGAAGCATCTGATGTTCTGATTTCTGAGCACTACAGACTCCTCCCATCCAGTTTCCATTTCTCAGAAGTTTGTTCATATTTCTTCTCTGCTTTTTGGTCTCTCCAATTTGCTTTTGTCTGTGGGTTTTACCATATGAAAATATTTTAATTCTCATTTTAGTGGTGTTTCAGTAGGAAGTGAAATAAGCATGTACATGTCATTTGCCATATTTGATTTAAGTGTCTTCCTCCAACACACCAGAACTTCAAGACCCATTTCAAGTCCCACTCTAGAAAGCTTTCCCCTGTCACTCTAGATGCCATTGATATGTGGTCCTTATCATGAAACAAACAAATGCCTGTTTCCACTTCTTTGCCATATAATTTTTTTCTGTATCCGTACAACTAGATTAATATTTTTCATATTACCTTATTTTGTTTTTAAAAGTTTAAATTCAAAAGTTTAAATCTAAAAGTTTAGAATTTTAGAAAGAACTATATTCCAATCCCATTCAGTTGCATTTACTTGTTTTGCTTATTTTATGACTGTAGAAAGCATTAAGCTGATTATTACAGGGAAATATCTAAAGATCTGTCTTCAAGAGGCATGTGTCTTGTAGGAATAATAAGATAAACTCAGATAACCCCGAGACAGGACACTGGAGGAGTGTGCAGCAGGGAAGAGGTGTGCAAGCCTAGCGTGTTCAATCAAAGGAATAAATGATTAAAATTCTGCAAGGGGGAATCCAAGCTTTGTGCAGGCAAGAGTAAGTTTAATTTCACGAAATTAGGGGATTCTGTAAGGGGACTATACATCTACCTGGTGACCAATTTCCCTTTTGGCGGTTATTTGACCCCATGGCAGGCCAGTCTGTGGGCTTCTTCCCCTATTGAGTAGAGAGAATCCTGGCATATAACAGATGCTTTTCATAAACGTTCATTAAATTCATGAGTGGAAAAGCACTTTTTGGGGGTTCACATTATTATTTTTTAATGTCTCTTATGTCATGAATATAATTTCTTCTTTGCAAGGACATTAATTATAGCCCTTACAGTTTTAAATACACAAATGTTTTAAATATATTGCATTCTTATACTTTCTAAAAAATAAACATGAAAGTAAGTTTTGTTTTTCCCCCCAAATTTAGATTTTCCTTGCTGCTGCTTAACTTGGAGGAGTACTACTTTGAACAGCATACAGCTAGTCATATTTTCCACAAGGGCAGTCATGCTGAACGGTAAGAACGCTCTGGGGTCTCTATGGATTAGCAAACTTTTCTGATACCTGGAATTTTAAAAATTAAATGTATGATCATACTAAAGAGAAAACTATGTTTTTAAATAATTAAAGTTACCTTTATTTAGTTCTATTGAGGATTGTAACCCAGAGGAGTCTTTTACAGCGTTTCTGTTGTATTTATTTATTCTTATCACACACAAGGTTTTTCATCCCTTTCTATTTGGAAGTGACAAGAATAGTGGATTTATAAGTTGCTGTCATCGCTTCAAATATTTTTCAATGCTAAAAATCTTTCATTCAAATTCTTCTAAGGTTGTGGCTGCCTAAAAACAGCTTGTTAGGACTCATAACTATTACTGCTATAAAAAAAAGATTCTCTTTCTTTGATCTTACCTTTTGAAAGCTACTTACAAAAGTGTGTCATGAAGTTTTGTGTTTGTTTAAAATGGCAGCTTGGAATTAACTAAGATGAAAGTTGTCCCCGCCCCCCCAAAATGTATCTATGGATGACTTCCTTTTCGGAGGTTAGTTAATGACGGTATACCACAACTTAGAAAATGCTTTGACATTAAGTCAGTACGAACAGGTATAAATCACTCAGTGTTTTGTTTTGTTTGGTAGTTTATGACTTGTCTATTTCCTTAGCATTCAATCAAATTAGACATTTACTATATTCTGAACACAGCACCTTGCTTTCTTACTTCTGAAATGTTACTCATATCCTCTTCCCTAATTCCATACTTTTTTATTCTTCCAATGTTCTTCTGTCCTTTATCATAATAATAGCTTGCTTAAAATTAAGTGTACTTGCTTATTATTAGAATATAAATATAGGATAGCAAATTAAAACCTGTTTGTTTTTAAAGCTACTAGTAGGAGGAAATGGTACCACCTCATGGAGGGAATTTGGTATTATCTAGCAAGACTGCATGTGCTGACCTATTGATCTAGCACTGCTACTTCTAGAATACTATTTCAAAAAGACACTGACAAATATGTAAACAGACATATATATAAAGATTATTTATTATAGCACTACTTGTTCTAGAAAAAGACTAGAAAAAATTCAGTAGGAGATTAACTGAATTGATTCCATGGAGTGGCTACATAATGTAGTATGCTGCTGTAACAAAATTTAATGGACTAATATCTAGTCTTAGAAAAGAAAAACATTATGTCATTTGTGACATCATGGTTAGACTTGGAAGACATTAGGCTAAGTGAAATAAGTCAGACATAGAAGGACAAACACTACATGATCTCGTGTGGTATCTAAAAAAGTTGAACTCAAAGAAGCAAATAATATGGTAGTTGCTAGGGCTGGGAGGTAATGGAAATGGGGAGATATTGGCCAAAGTGTAAAAATTTTTCATTATGTAGGATGGATAAATTCTGGAGATTTAATGTATGTAATAATGTGTGTGTGTTCTTTATATACAGATATATGTATATAATGTTTATCCATGAATCTGTCAATGGATACTTAGATTGATCCCAAATCTTGGCTACTATGAATAATACTATAATGAACATGGGAAGGCAGATATGTCTTCAGTATACTGATTTCATTTTTATTTTTTATATTTACCAAGAAGTGAGATTGCTGGATTATATGGTACTTCTGTTTTTCATTTTCTGAGGAAGCTCCGCATTGTTTTTTATAATGGCTGTACTAATTTACATTCTCATTAGCAGTGTACAAGAACTATCTTTTCTCCACACCCTCACCAACAATTATCTTTTTCCTTTGATAATAGCATCCTAACAGGTGTAAGGTGATAGCTCAATGTGGATTTGATTTTTTTTTTTTCTGAGGATTAGTGATGTTGTGCATCTTTTCATATTCTTGTTGGTCATTTGAGATATGTCCTTTTCTCATTTTTTAATAGACTATTTGTTGCCTTACTTTTGAGTTGTTTGAGTTTCTGATATATTTTGGGTATTTGTCCCTTATCAGAGGTATGGTTTTCAGATATTTTCTCCCATTCTGTAGGTTATCTCTTCACTTGGCTGATTGTTTCCTTTGCTATACAGAAACTTTTTTAGTTTGGTATAATCCCATTTGTGTATTTTTGCTTATGTTGCCTGTGCTTTTGGGGTCATATCCACAATATCATTGCCTAAAGCAATGTCAAGGTTTTTTTCTTCCAGCAGTACAGTTTAAAGACTTCTATTTAAGTCTTCAATTCATTTCAGGTTGATATTTGTATATGGGGTATTAAAAAAGTAAATGCAGCTAGCAACATGGAAAAATGACAGCAAATGATAAACAGTTTCAAAAACACTTTGAGGAAGAAGAATTGCAAATTAAATTGTGTTCTTAAGTATGATTGGCCTTCTCATCTATTCAGTGCACATACTTTGAGCACTGAAGATAGAAAGCTCAGGTAAACATTTCCTGCCCACAAAAGAACAGGCAGTGTTAACTCTGGGGCCGGAGGAGGCATCCTCAACCTGTAAGATTGTATTATTCAATGTGATATTTTTTGGATGCTTTAAGTTTCCAAACAACAGACTCTTTAAACTATATGGAGATACAGATATAAGTCTAAGAAGTTAAATAAAAAATCCTGTAATCTAACTTTTGAATTGTAAATGCCATATGAACCACTATTTTGTGTTTTGTTTTACCAGTTACTCTAAAAACAGGGTTAATATGTACTAAAGCCCAGTTTCATCCCTAACCAGCCCAATGGTAGATAATTGTGTTGTGGTGGGGTGGGGTGGGGTGAATTCTTCATGAAAGAGGCATTTGAACTAAATCTTGAAAGATGGTTGAGGCCCAGTTGTAGTGGCTCTCACGTGCAGTCCTAGTACTTTAGGAGGCCAAAGTGGGAGAATCCTTTGAGGTCAGGAGTTCAAGACCAGCCTCACCAGCATAGTCAGATGCCATGTCTGCATGCAAATAATAATTCCTTATAAAAAAGAAATAAGAAAAGAAGAATGACTGGGACTTTTTTTTCTGGATAGGAAGTGAGGACAGGAGGCTACAATTAGAATGGATAGCACATGCAAAGCTAAAAGGTGTAAATGAGAAAGATTTGAATAATGTTAAGTAGCTTATTACAAATAGACCATTGAATTAATGTAACACAGATATTGAGATGGAGAAATAGGTCCAGTTCACATTATGAAAGGCCTTGTTTGGATTTTGTCTTATAATCCAGAAAGCCATAGCGTGTGAGATTCCTTTGGTAGGGGACGAATTGGAGTGGTAAGGTGACAGAAACGGAGAGCAGTTAGGCTCTCTCAAGAGTATAAGTGAAATAATTGTGCTTCACTTAAGACAAGGAGACACAAGAGCCTTGTGATGGACAGAGTAAGAGAGGTCACCAGAAAACTGAGGGATGGCTAGAGAAAAAATTCAAATGTCATTCAAGTGATCTCCAAGAACCTAGGCTCTTTACAATTCTGCTTATAGACAAAATGTACTCTTGGAAACTGATCTTAAGGGATTTTTTTACAAGGTAATATTCCAACATCTTTCAACCTCCATTCTCTGCATAATAACCTATTGCCTTGGTTTGATCATTGAAAAAAGTCATCCAATCAGTGAAAAAGAAAGTGTAGATTTTTAAAATAATGAAGTTTTTGTTGTTTATAATGAACAGTTTTTAAAAAAATATTTGTTTTACATCTTATTTTATTGTAGAGATTTGGGTTATAAGTAAGGACTAACCACGCAAGTAGGCTGCATGCAGGTGAAGTTTGGGCCTTCAACTGGCCCTCACTTCCCCTGGTTTGGGAACAGGTACCCTTTGTGTTGTTACATGCTGTCCCCCTTCATCCCCTGGCGGTGCCCAGCAACTGCTGATCCCTTCCATGTGCTAATGTGGTTAATGTTCAGGTCCCACTTAGGAGTGAGGACATGTGGTATTCAGTTCTTTGTTTCTGTGATAGATCACTAAGTAAGATGGTCTCCAGCTCATCCAATTTGCTGCAGAGTTCATGATTTTGTTCTTCTTTATGCCTGCGTAATAGTCCATTGTGTATATGTACCACATTTTGTTTATCCAGTCCATTTTTGATGGACAGAAGGATTAATCCCATGTTTTTGCTATTGAGAATAGTATGACTATAAACATGCATGTGCAGGTGTCTTTTTGTAGAACAATTTATGTTCCTCTGTGTACATTCCCAGGAAAAGGATTGCTGTATCATACGGGAGGTTAATTTTTAGTTCTTTTAGGAATTGCCACACTACTTTCCATAGAGGTTGAATTAGCTTGTACTGCCACCAACAGTACAGAAGCGTTCCCTTTTCTCAGCACCCACACCACCATCTCTATTGTTTTTGATTTTTTATTGATGGTCATCCTTACTGGAGTTAGGTGGTATCTCACTGTAGTTTTGATATGCATTTTTCTGATAATTAGTGAGGCTGAGCATTTTTTCATGTATCTGTTGGCTGCTTGTATATCTTCTTTTGAAAAGTGTCTATTCTTGTCCTTTGCCCACTTTTTAATATGGTTGTTTGCTTTTTTCTTTTCAGCTTACTTGGGTTCCTTATAGATCCTGGATGCTAGACCTTTGTCAGATACATAATTAGCAAATATTTTTTCTCAATCTGTGGGTTGTCTCCCCACTCTCTTATTGGTTTCTTTTGCTGTGCAAAAGCTTTTGTAATGACCAGTTTTGTTTTTCAGTGTGTAGATTTTTATTAGCTTCAGGCAAGTGATGCATATTAACCAAAACTAGCAACTGCCTCTAAAATGTTTAGGCTGGTTTATTTCTCCAACTTACTGAAGCCATCTGAATGTCAACAAAGGATGAAAATGGTAAAGTCTAGAACTGATTTATTTGATATTACAGTAGTAGCAATATAGTCTTTAAAATTGCTTACTATCACGGAGTAAAATTTTTCCTGAACTCCTACATACTCCAAAACCACTGTTAAAAGCATTTTATGTGCTAAGTTCAAATTCTGTTAGTTTTTTATATTATAAATAAGAAAAAAATTTCCTCTGCTGAATCAATTTTAGTTATATGATATTATCTTTTTTTTTGAGTTGGAGTCTCACTCCGTTGACCAGACTGGAGTTCAATGGCACACTCACTGCCACTCCAGCATCAACCTGCTGGGCTCCAGCATTCTTTCCACCTCAACCTTACAAGTAGCCAGAAATACAGGTGTGCGCTACTGCACCTGGCTAATTTTTTTACTTATTGTCTTGCCAAGTTGTCCGAACTGGTCTTGAACCTGTGGGCTCAGGCAATCCACTCACCTGGGCCTCCCAAAGTGCTGGGATTACAGGCTAAGCCACTGAGCCCAGCTAATATTATCTTCTTAATAGTTCATGTATGAGGAATTAAAAACCAACAGAATTTACTGGAGACAGGATAGATTCAGTGTTTCTTAACCTTTCTGGTCCTTAGTTTTCCTTTCAGAGCAGTTGTGAGGACCAAATGAGATAATAAAAATAAAATGCATGGGACAGTGTTCAGCAAACCAAACCATAATTACAATATGGATTATTTCTCTACCTTTAGGGAGGTTCTCTTCAATTGCATTGTTGATCTTTTATTAGTTGATGCTTTAGTAACCTATTTTGTAGTTAAAATGTATTATGATTCTTTTGTGACTTTTGTTATGCTCATTAAATAATCTTTTGTACCTTGATTCCTAGGAAAATCAGAGGCTCCTTAAAAATATGTTCAAAATCAGTGATTTTTGAGCCAGATGAAATATCCCAGCCCATCATTAAGGTAAACACATTTTAAGAGTGAGAAGAAATGTTCCTACATTTTGTGTGTGTTTCTCCTTTGCTTACTTTTATAATCTCTCTCTCCATTTTATCTAGATTCCTTTGAGGGATTGTATAAAAATAGGGAAATGTGGAGAAGATGGAGCCAATAGACACTTTACAAAGTATGTCATTTTCACTATTTAATTTTACTTCACCCCAAAATCTATTTATGTTTAAGGACTTTTTTCTGCATTTTAGGGCAAAATCTGGTGGGATTTCACTCATTTTCAGTCAGGTAAGAAATACATAGTAAATATTTTTTCCTAACCTGAATTAACGTCTGTCTTATCTATATATCTACACACATATGTGTGTGTATATATAATATATAATCTCTGTTAGCATGATTAAATTATTTATTTGTAGAAATATCAAAGGAAAATCATTGGAATATAATTTAAATGCTTTTGAAGTTTAATCACTAAGAAATATAAATTTTGAGTGTTTGTTCCTAATGGAATCCTTAATGTTTGCTAAGTATGTGATATCTGCGGGCTTGTGATTTTATCCTTAGGCACTCTGACAGTGTGTGAGGGTTAAGATGAAGGCATGACAGTCCCTCCTGATCCTCCTAGTTGTTTAGAAGGTGAGAGTCCAGTGCCATGCCACTTAAATGGTCTCAGGGACTCAAGACAACCAAGACAATGACTCGGGATTGGTGGTCATTTGACATTTCCCATGCTATCCTTGACTTTGTATTGTTTTTACTGGCATATGTGAAAACACTTGCAGCCATCTACTGCTTTGGGGAGGGAACACCACTGTTAATAATTCTTGGGGTCATGACCTTTTGTTCATTCTAAATTATTCTATATACATTTATGCATTTACCATTGCACTAAATACAGGTGCTCAGAATAGTATTGGCAATACAAGATCAACTAAAACATGGTTTTTCTCCTGTCATAGCATTAGTATATAGATTTTTTAAAAAGTAAATTAAGAAGGGAGTAGAGGTTGTCTGCTGCTTTCTTTTGGCTCTGGATTTCACCTTCTTCATTTGTCAAGTGAAGGGGTTGGCAGTATTGCCTTGACTCTCTGCAGTGCTCCAGTTTCTTGAGGTGTTCAGAGAAGAATTGATTTAGGATCAAGTAAGTGTAGCAAAGGCTGTGGGAAACAAAGAAACACAGATTTCTTGGCTTCAGGACTTGGCTCAAAGCCTCTTACATATGAGGCTTCGAGGGTCCCAAGGAGGTGAATGGTGAGGAGAAGAGAGTGCTGCCAGCACTTTTTGGAGCACTGGATCCTTTGGTACATGGAACATTTTTAATGTGTATTGAAAAATAGTTTCTGAAAGCCAGGAAATACTGGATTAGGTGATTTTCTACATCTGGCTTCCATGATTTTATTAATTTTAAGGAAGAAAACATTTCCCATGCTATCCTTGACTTTATATTGGTTTCACTGGCATATGTGAAAACACTTGCGGCCATCTACTACTCTGGGGAGGCAACACCATTGTTAATAATTCTAGTCCACCTCTGTGCTCTCATGTCTGTAGTATCATTCTACTTCATGACCTTGTTCTAGAAAGTCTATATCTTGAAAGGAAGAGGTACTTTTCCAGTTGGAAGTAGTATTTTCTTTATAAAACTATACATTTTAGTTATTTTAGTAACATTTTAATACCTTTGGGCTTAGGAACATCGTCCCCAAGTTTCTCCACCTACTTTTAGTAGTTTGTAGAAGAGGTCTCTCAAAACCAGCCTAATACCAAAGGATGCCTAGACACCGGCTGTTCTTTCAATTATTTTTAGTTTCCTGTGTCAAGTACACAACCAAGCAACTTTTGGGTTTTCTAATTACATGCTAGGTCATGAAGTCTCGGAAAGATGTTATGTTGCTTTACATTTAGAGTTTTGCCTCCAAGTTTTCTGTGCTGTGAGAATAAAGGTGTGTGTGTGTGTGTGTGTGTGTGTGTGTAAAAGTTTCAACCCATTGATTCAATAAGTATTATATTTAAGTCTCTGGAGATATAGGATATAGGGAAGGACAAAATATCTGAAATCTCTCTCCCCATGGACTTTACTTTTCAATGTGGGAGACAGACATCTAATGTCTAGTAGGGATAAATGCTGTGAAGCAAATCAAAACAGGACAAAAAGATAGAAAATAATAAATATTCATGCACTAACATGTGTGAGAGGCTTTAAGTCAAGTCTGGAATTCAAGAAATCTGTGTAGTTTTTTGTTTTCTACTGCTTTTTCTATACTTACATGATGCTAGAACAGAGATGTCTTGCAGAGAGAGTGCCACTTGACAAGAGGCTCAGAAGGCCTGAGGGAGTGAGCCATGGGATTATCATGAGAGGTGTTCCAGGTACAGAGAGTGGTGGGGAGAGGTCCAGAGGTGGGCATGTCTTCGGCAAGTGGAAGACCCAGGAGCGTGAGGGAGCGTGAGGCATGGAAGTCAAGGAGAACACCCAAAGGGTGTTGGAGCAGGTGCAGGGACCATGTCACAGAGAGCCCTGTGGACCACAGCACAGGTTTAGAATAAGACACACAGAGAGAAGCCACTGGAAAGCTGAAAGAGAAGGGGCTCATCTGATTTGTATGTACTGGTGAGTATTTCTGGAGGCTGGGTAGAGAGCATGCTGTTCAGAGGCAAGAGTGGAAGCAAGGAGACCGTTTGGGGTATTCCAGAAACCCAGGTGTATTGGCCCAGGATGGTGAGAGGTGGTCATTGACTGGATATGTTCTGAAGAAAAACTTGGCAGATGTGCTGATGGATTCGTTTTAGGGGATAAAAGAGAGCAGATAGTCAGGAGCGACTTCACTGAGGTGGAGAAGAGTGCCCTTTACTGCAATAAGGAAGCCTGGGAAGGAGCAGGCTTGGTTTAGAATGTGTGGTTTGCAGTGCCTGACAGGTCTCCAAGAGAAGTCCAGAGCAGTCATTTGGATGCACTCCTCAGAGTTTCAGAGAAGAGGCCAAGGCCAGAAAGGTAAACGGGGAAGTTAGAAGTTTCTAGAGAGTTTTTAAAGCTCTGGGACTGGATGAGATTCTCCAGGGACTGTGTGGACAAGGGAATCTGAGGACTACAGCCCTGCAACTCTGTAACATGAGAGGTTGGGAAGAGAGCAATCCAAAAGCAGACAGAAGGAGCAAGAACCAGGAGAAGGTATCCAGGAAGCCATTTGGAAAACTGCATCAGGAAGAGCTATCAGCTATGTCAAATGCTCTGGGAAGGACTGTCGAGGAGGACATAAGAATTAACTATTGGATTTGGTGACATGGCAATCTTTTGCACTTTGGATGATCATCTCAAAGTGGTTTCAGTGACGAGGTAGGGATAAAAATGTGTCATAGGCTCAAGGGAATGTACAGGCAGTTCTTGCAAAGAGTTTTGTCATGAAAAGGAATAGAGAAATGGTAAAAGAAGGATGTGAGACCAAGGAGAAAGGGGTTTGTGTGTGTGTGTGTGTGTGTGTGTGTGTGTGTGTGTGTGTGTTCTGTGGTGTGTGAAAAATGGAAGAGGACGCAGTGTGTAATCCTAGGAGTAAAGTTTTTGCATAGTCGGCAGGTGGGGGATGGCGGTGTTCACATTCTGTGACCTAGTAGAGGGACTGGCCTTTGAGAGCTCAGGCAGACCTTCCACTGTTACAGGAGGAAAGGTAGTGATACAGGCACAAGTGCACAGAGATGGAAGGCTCTGGTGGATGGGGTCGCTTGTTCAACGTAGTTATTAATGTACTGTGTGAAGACAGGTGGCCCAGTGCATGTGAAATCACCTGTGTAACCAGGTCATCTTCAGAGCAGAGATGTTTCTTTATGTTAATGAACATATTTCATACCACACTGACTTTGTTTTACCCATTTCTTAGAAAATCAGCACTTAGGTTAGGTCTCTTCCCCTGTCTACTTGGTTACTTGGCACAAGTGATGACATTCATAAGACATCTTAGGCATTTATTTATCCAGTAATTGTTGCTATCTTGTTGCCTGGATAATTCTCTTTTTAACTTGATATTTGTTATTTTTACACCAATACTTTAAAGCTGTACTAATATTAATGCAACTACTTTTGGAAGTAGAAATTATGTAACCATGTTTTAACATACTTGCTGTATAACATCCTAATTTGTCATTACTCTTTACAAGGAAAAAATTTAGTTATTATTGTACAAGTATTGATTTTTCTTTCTCAGGTATATTTCATTAAAGAACATAATATTGTTGCACCATATAAAATAGAAAGGGTAAGTAAAGCTTTTCATGTATTCCCAGCAATTTTTATAGTGATTTCGAGCAATAAGATTTTGTGACTCCATTAACATCTTTAATCAAATATAATAATAATGGGTATTTAAAAGCTTATTACCTAGCCATCATAACAGAATTACCCAAGGGAACTGCAGATTTTAGTCCAAGAGAATTCAATTAACTTTTTGACTTAAATGTGCCTAATAGGAAAAAAATTAAATAATTAGATTAGTAATTGAAATCAGAATATGCATCATTTATAAGATTATTTACTAGGTGTTACTGAAAATTTGTTTACCAGTGCATTACTGAAAATTTTATTTTTCAAAATATTCAGTAATTTTTTATAGTTTATAAAGTGCTCTTATTTGAGAACTTAATACAATCTGTAAGTACTCCTAATTGGGTAATTGAATCTATGAGTAGACTTGAATGTAATATCTGGTGTCTTTGCAAGTAATCATAGATATGCCATTTAATCATTCTCTGATTTAATTCTTTATGCTTCTGCTTAATGTATCATACAGGGATAGCTCCTACTAAAAGAGAATTTTTACAGGACCTATGGACAGAGTTAGTATATAATACGATAATGATAACTTATAATAATCACTCTGTGAATTAGGAAAAGCCACCCTCTGGGGATAAACACAGTCCCACCGGCTGAATCTCAGTCCCAATTGCAGGCCAGCCTGCAGTTTCTTAGCCAGCCGTCTATGGAGTGCACAAACCATATATGCAGTGGCCTTTGCGTTTTATGGACAAGAAACACTTGCATGCACTGATTAGTCAGAAAGTAAAAATTCTGAGATTTAATTACTCTCAAGTGGTGCTGCTAGCATTTTGAGCAGGACAATTCTTCATTGTGTGAGGCTGTCCCTTATATTATAGACTCTTCCCACTTAATAACTGTCTCTAGTACCCTGTTCCCCCTGTTGTTACAGCACCTCCTACATTGACAAAAGTCCCTGGGGACAGTGGAACTCTCTCTTCCTCCAAGTTGAAACCGCTACCTGGGATGCTCTCCTTCTAAATGCTCTCCTGAAACCCAATTAAATTGCAAAACTGCACATGGCTCATTGAACAGTTATGTGAACGGAAATGAGTGAGGGTGTCTGGGCAAATAAAAGCTCTTTTGTTCCGGTGTGAATTCGAATACCAAAGGATTCTCAAATAAAAAAAGAAGAGGAGTGACAGTATCAACATGGCAGGATAGGAAGCCCTAGGCCCTTCTTCCTCCTATGAAAACACTAATTCAGCAGCACAGGGACCAGTTCCCTTTGTGAGAATCCAGGAACCGGTTAAGAGAAATGTGTATCCCAGGTGAGCACGAAACCAGCCACGAAGCTGGTAGGAAGGTCTGTGGTACTTTCTGGCCATTGTTTATTCCTCTGGCCCAGCATCACATGATTGGGAGAAAACTCCCAGCTTCCAGCTTCTCCCTGGAGAGGAAGAGAGAGGCCTGGACTATAAATCCAATGTGCTGACTTTTCAGAACGACTGCCCGAGGAACTGCCTTTTGTCTCTTCTGTCTCAGAATGCAAAATGGAACCTTTCATACTCTAGATGCCTGTGGGCCACTAAGAACAAAAAAGAACTGGGTAACATGATGCTATTTTAGAGGACCTGAGGTACAGCAGACAGACCTACCGGAGAGAGCAAGGGTTTCCAGCCTTTTGAAGAAGAGAAACCAGTAAATCTCTCTAATTAGGATTCTATGTGCACAAGTCCAGAGATGACACATCTACAGAAAAGGTTTGAGAGACCCCCAGGATCTCTAGTGGGGCTGACTGGTGAAGTTTTTTCTGTGTATAAAACCAGTCTGTAGAGTTTGAGAGAGGGAACTGTTTTTTCAAGTATGGGGATACCGGCACAAAATTACAGGGAACACAAAGAATCAGGGGTACAAAATAAATGTTTATAAACCAACCCTAAAGAAAAGAAGGTATATGAATTACCTGACAAAGTACTCAAAATAATTGTCATAAATATGCTTAATGAGCATAGGAAAATGATACCCGAACACAATGAAAACTTCAACAAAGGTATAGAACATATTAAAAAGAACTGAACAGAAATGTTAAAGCTGAAGAATACAATAACTGGAAAATTTGCTAGAAGAGTTCAGAACAGATTTAGTAAAGCAGAAGAAAGAATCAGCAAACTGAACACAGGTCATTTGAAATTATCTGGGCAGAAGAACAAAAGAAAGAATGAAAAAGAGTGAAGAAAGCCTAAGGGACTAATGGGACACCATGAAGTGGACCACAAATATAATACGGGTGTCCAAGATGGAGAAGATAGAAAGGAGCAGAAAGTATATTTAAAGAAATAATGGCCAAAAGCTTCCCAAATCTGTGGAAGGAGGTGGACATCCAGATTTAAGAAGTCTAATGAACTTTACACAGGAGCAATTCAAAGATGTCCACACCAGGACACATTATAGTCAAATTGTTACAAGTCAAAGACACAGAGATAATAATGAACGCAGCAAGAGAATACAAAAGGAAATCCTCCATAAAACAATCAGCCAACTTTTTCCCAGAAAACGTGCAGATCAGAAAGGAAGATAATAGACTCAAAGTGCCAACAGTTTCAAGGCAAAACTGTCCTTGAAAAATGAGGAAAAGATAAGAATTTTCCCAGATACTCAAAAGCTGAGAGTTCACACCACTAGTCCTGCCTTACAAGAAATGCTAAAGGGAGTCCTGCCTTACAAGAAATGCTAAAGGGAGTCCTTCAAGTTGAAACAAAAAGCATATGAACTAACCAACAATATGAAAGCATATGAAACTATAAATCTTGCTGATAAAGAATATATTAGTACTGTAATGATAGTGTCAATTCTGGTATAGAAGATAAAAGACAAAAGTATCAAAACTTCTATAATTAAAAAACTATGTTAATGAGCACACAATATAAAAAGATGTTATTTGGGATGTCAGTAACGTAGTGGGGGGACAGATATATAAGGTAATTGTTTGTGTATGTGATTGAAGCTGTTACCAGCGTAAAAGAACTAAAAGTTGTTTTATGTAAGCCTTGTGGTAACCATAGAGAAAATACCTATAGAAGATACACAGAAGAGAATGAGGAAGGAATCAAAGCATGTCACTACAAAGTATAAACTTAATACAAGGAAAGATAGCAAGAGGAGAAAAGGGAGACAAGAAAGTTACAAGACAGAAAACAATTAAAATAGCAATAATAAATTCTTCCCTATTAATAATTACTTTAAATATAAATGTATTAAACTCCCCAGTCAAAAAACATAGAGTGTCTGAATGGGTTTAAAAAAAAAAAAAAAAAAAGATCCAGGCTGGGCATGGTGGCTCATGCCTATAATTTCAGCACTTTGGGAGGCTGAGGTAGGAGGATTGTTTGAGCTCAGGAGTTCAAGAACAGCTTGGATACCATTGTGAGACCTCGTTTCTACCTCCACCCCCACTCCCCAAAATTAGCCAGACTTGGTGGTGTATGTCTGTAGTCCCACATTTGGGAGGCTACGGTGGAAGGATCGCCTGAGCCCAGGGTGAGGCCGTGGTGAGCTGTGTCCTCCTTTTATTCTATTTAGTCCCTCAATATATTGGATGAGGCATACTGGGGAGGGCATTCTGCTTTACTCAGTCTACTGATTCAAATATTGACCTCACCCAGAAACGCCTTCACAGATATAGCCAGAAATAATTTTTAACCAAATATTTGAGCACCTTGTGGCCCAAACTGATATCTATATGTACCCAATCTCAGAACATCCAAATGTATGAAGCAAACATTGACAGAACTGAAGGGAGAAATGGATAGCAAAGAAAAAAAAGCAGGAGGTATTAGTGCCCATTTTCAACAACGGGTAGAACATCCAGATATAACATCAGTAAGGAAACAAAACCACACTGTAGAACAAGTGGACCTAACAGACGTATACAAAACATTCCACCCAACAGCAGCAGAGTACATATTCATCTCAAGCACATGGAACATTCTCTGGGACAAATCACATGTGAGGTCCCAAAACAAGTCTTGACAAATCTAAGGAGTTTTGGTTTTTTTTTTTCTTTTTTTGTGGACTGAGGCAGTTCAACCCCTTGTTGTTCAAGGGTCAATTGTAATTCATATTTTATGGTAATAAACTGGTAAGGAAAGCATCCAGGAGATTACTTGGTGTTAAGGGAAGCTAACCTCAGATTTTAAATCATCACTGGGAAGCCTAAACGTGAATAAATAATGTGATTCAGGTGTTGCAATGAAATGTAACTGAATTTGGTTGCGTTGATAAATGGATTTCGATTAGTACTTTGCCACTATCTGTGTTGCTCTGATGTTGTTTTTCCACCTCTTTGCACCTTGGTTAAGAACACCGAGAATAGGTGTAGGAGGGAGGAAAGTTGGTGAGGAGCATGTTACAGTAAGAGGTTATCTGGAATCTGGTTAGGGAAAGTAGAAAAATCACTTGATGAGAGTGGTGTGAATCTAGAAATGGCAACATGTGATACTCACGTTTCACCTGTGAAGAAGAAAAATCTTGGACCATGATTAGAAAAGATAGGCAAAGGGAAATCTTGGGTGGAAATAAAAAGTATAACTATGATAATACTAAAAATAATAGTCCCTCTAGTACCTTTGCATAATAGCTCCATTTTATGTATGTATGTGTGTACACAGGAGTCTCACTCTGTTGCTCAGGCTGGAGTGCAGTGGCACACTCATGGCCACTGGAGACTTGACCTGCTGGGGTCGGGTGATCCGTCTTCCTCAGCCTTCCAAGTAGCTGGAACCACAGTTTCATGTCACCATGCCCAGCTAATTTTTTTGATTTATTCAGATATAAGATTTCACCAAGTTGCCCAGGCTGGTGTAGAACCCCTGGGCTTAGGCTCTCTCCTCTGCCTCCCAAATTGTTGGATTACAGGTGTAAGCCACTGTGCCCAGCCTTCTTTCTATTTTATAGATGAAAACATTGAGGCTCAGAGAACTGAAATTAATTGCCTAAAGACAC